GTGTTTGGGGGGGGGCTAGGGTAATCGTCCGGGGGGTGGGGGTAATTGTCCTGGTGGGTAATTGTCCTGGTGGGTAATTGTCCTGGTGGGTAATCGTTCTGGTGGGTAATTGTCCTGGTGGGTAATTGTCCTGGTGGGTAATTGCCCGGTGGGTAATTGTCCAGTGGGTAGTTGTCCGGATACGAACACCTCTCTTCACGTTTCCCAGGCCCTTAATTTATCTTGCAAAACAAGTTCCATGAATAACTTACCTCCTTGGTTTCCATAGCCTCCTCCGCCAAAGTTTCCGCCACCTTGGTTGCCGTAACCACCGCCTGTAAACCCCGCAACATAGGAAATCTTATATGATGTAGCAACAATCAGCCATACCATACATGGAAACATGTTACATATCCCTTATATTGATCTTAAAAATGGTGACAACTACAAATGCATATAATACATGCAAAATTTATGCCTTAACTAAAAATATATATGCAATAGCATATTTACTAAGAGTAAGAGGTGTCATGTTTCACAATACTGTACCTTGATTGCCATAGCCTCCGCCTCCGCCTCCGCCACCGCCATAGCCGCCTCCGCCACCGTACCCGCCTCCTCCGCCACCGTACCCGCCGCCTCCGCCACCGTACCCGCCTCCTCCGCCACCCCAGTTATCGCCATCTCCACGGTTACCTAAAACACGAGAATCATCAACGTAAGATCATAGCTCTGCCCTAAACCCAATTCTTTACCAATTCAAACAACAAAGTTGGCCGGCAAGTGTTTTGACAAGACCACGCTGCCATTCCGGTGACTCACCAAATCTTCCTCCCCCTCGTCCTGATCCACGGCTGGCTCCTCTATCCATCGCTGATGCCATCTCCTGTTTCGACACTGCTTTCTTCACCTCTGAGTGATGTCCGTTGATTGTATGATGCCGTTGCACTGAAACAGTGTGAGAGCGATAAGAATCAGCATTCGCTATGCGGGCACTGATGCCCGTTACAGCTGCTTCCCAAGCGTCCATCCAGAAAGATAACGAATTCATGCGCTCAGAGAGTACATGAGAGCACGCAGCATTTAGAGAGTACTCACGGACGATTTTGTCGACGGGGTCGTAATCGTCGAAGGAGACAAAGGCGAATCCTCGCTTGCGATTTGTTCCCTTCTCCGTGATGATGTCGACGGAGGTGACGTTGCCGTACTGCATGAAGTAGTCCTTCAGATGGGATTCTTCCGTATCGTCACGAATGCCTCCAACAAAGATCTTCTTCACTGTCATCTGCGCCTCTGGCTTGCTCGACTCCTACAGTATTGACAGACGGGGAATTACAATTATTAGCGCATACACCAGTGTATCGCTAACAGCTCATTCACTAGTAAATGACCAGTCATTTTATTGTACAAACCGTTGATTCCAATATACAGATGACATATCTTTGCCTTAATGCTTGTTTAATTAATTATACTATAATACTTGTAATAATTATAATAATACTTTATCTTTTATAAAACTTAATGAGACACGTTTGGCAATGATTGATAATGCCTACATACACGCTTCACACTACAAGGTGAGTGGAGCAACGCTAGACCGAGGCTTGCAGTCTCTCACGCGCACGAGTCGTCGAGAATTTCACGTACCTCGCGCGGCACGGCGCGCTTGGGTTCCACCTCCTTCCCGTCAATGATGTGAGGCCGATTCTGCTGTGCTTCGTCCAGCTGCGACGCTTTTTTGTAGGTTATGAAGCCGAAGCCGCGCGACCGCTTTGTCGCCATGTCGCGCATGACAACGCAGTCAACAATCTCTCCCCATTGTTCGAAGTGTGTCTTCATGCTATCCTCAGTTGTCTCGTAGCTGAGACCGCCGATGAACAGTTTCCTGTCCTTCTCCCGGTCGCGCTCATGTTCGTAATCCTGGAGGAGGAATCGCAAACACGTCAAGTACGAGATGGAGGAAGACTCTGACCGTGTGACAATGCACGTGCAGAGTCTTGGATGTCATGACTCTAACAATAGTGATTTTCAGTGTTTTTGTTACGAGAGCTTTCCGCTATTACTATAGTTCTATGTGGCTGGTGACGCTGCTGCTGCCGCTGCTACTACTACTAACACACGAGATGGCCATGCTCAGGGTTCTCAGCAAAAATTTTCAGGTGTGTTGGGCGATCGGGCACTTAATCCCCCGATTGCTAATTGGAGTAAATGAAATGTGTCGTAAGCGCCCCAAGGCACAGCTAAACTTAATTGTTATGGAGTTGCAGACATAAAGCTGTGACGACAACATTACCGTGTTCGGATAACTCATGTAGATTAAGTAATTAAGGTATGTCAGAGGTTTTATAGGATGTTCCAAATTAGCTTTATAACATAGGTGTGTCGGACCACATCGAGTTGAAGCTGTGGAAAACCTTATAAGGCTTTAAGAGTTATAGTTCCTTTTTATGCAAACTCAAAAAGCTGTGGCGCTTCTTGGCAACACTGAGCCTATACTTACAGATTTACTGCAAATCAAACAGCATTAGCTTTCACTCAGAATTTGCAATTTAACTGGCAATCAATTCCTCAGCGCATCATACAATCAATGGGTTTAGGTTTAATCACCATGCAATTTGACTTGGATTGCATTAGGATTGATCACACCACACTGCCATACAGCCCGAGGTTCGATTTGCGATTTTACATGATCTTGCAGGGGTAGAAATAAGGAGAAAAAAAGAGATGGTCCACAGGACCATTTAGTTTTAAATTTAGATGGTACTCCTAAATTTCAAATTCTTCTCTAAAAGTAATGCGGCGTGAAAGCGTAAGAAAGAGATTTTACACGGTGGTAAAATGGTTTATGGTAAAATTATTTTCACCTACAATGAATATATCAAACAATACAGTAATTGTTTATTCACTTTAATAGTATATTGGAACGTGGAAACTTCAAAGAAAATTACCGTAAAATGGGACCAAAATATGCAATGGTACGTTGGACCATTGACTTTGAAAATCGGATGGCCCCGAACCATCGCTTATTTCGAATCCTGACGTGGTGTGTACTGCGCAGTAGGGGCAGTAGTAGTACAAAAAATTAAGAGCCGGACGGGGCGGAAACAATTTAAACTCATACAGTATCCCTATTATCCACGCGATGACTGGTAAAGTGTTACCGAGACGATTATAGTATCGTATAATTTAGCACAGCATTTGGTTAAATGGCAGAGCCGTAGGCTGAGAAAATTCCTAGGGGTGGCAGTGGCGGATCTAGGATTTCAAGGAGGGGGTGAGAAAGAGGTGGGGGTCTGGGGGGTCCTCCCACAGAAAATTTTGAAAATGTAGATCGCAGGAGATGGTATTTGAGGCACTTTTGAGTACATGATCATGTACAGCCTTCATTCTGACTACGACAATTCTCTTTTAGTAGAACAATTTGCTTTAGTTTTAATTTTGCTCCAAAATCTAGGGGGCAGCTGCTCCCTTGTCCCCAGCAAGCTACGGCTCTGAATGGGTTAGTTTTACGGGTAATAGTAATACCAGCCGAGTAAACCGGCGATGTTTAAAATGGCGCACGCTCAGTCACAGTGCCATTTTTGTGAGTCGCCAAAACCATGTGAAAACCTCTATTTCCACTTACAATGATATTTCACATTTAATGCCTACCTATATATTTCTTACTTAATGCATTAAATTTATATCTAAATACTAAAGTAAGTAACAAATTATGTTTAAATATGTACGTACTCTTTCTGCTGGCATTTTCTTTGTTATGGCGTCTCTAAAGATGTCACGTGATTAATCTCGTTTTCCCGTCCTTGATGAGATAAATTACAGCAAATTTACCAAAACTCGTATAAAATATAAAAAACTTAGCTGCTAAATTTTAAATATTGGAACTAATAATAAAAATGCACTTAAGCGTAGAATTTCTTTCTAATACTTTCTTTCTAAGACTGCAATATTCCGAATAACTGGCGGCAGCCAATAGGAATTCATATATCTTCTCTCTGCGAAGAGTGCCACCGGTTAAAGTACCAGCCTAGGGAGTGCAAATGGTTAAAGTACCAGCCTAGCAGCCAATAGGAAATCATATACCTTATCTCTCCAGGGAGGGCTACCGGTTAATGTACCAGCCTAGCAGCAAATAGAAAATCATATATTTTCTCTCCGGGGGAGGGCCACCGATTAATGTACCAGCTTAAATGGAAAGTGCCACTCATTAAAGGGATCGTTTACTCTAGGTTCTAGGGTTATTTTCAGTTAATTTAGGTTTAAATTACGCTACATAAAAAGTTTCATGGTTCAATCACCATTAGAAATATTATTAAAAAATGTTTTAAAACTAACGACTACAGTTTGATTACAAATGACGGTGGCGCCACTCAAAGCGCACGATCTGATCTCAGGAGTCTATCAATATATGATATAAATTATAATATATATTGATAGACTCCTGATCTGATGAGTTGCGCAAAACTACTTTTCATCCAAGGGCTACAGATCGAGGGTGTTTCTTATTTATTAATTTAAAAGCAAAAGGATTATAATATCTTATAAACAACATAATTATACTATAGTTACCTCCGCCAAGGGGTTGGCAGGAGGTTATGTTTTCACCGGCGTGTGTTTGTTGGTTTGTGGGTTTGTGCGTTAGTTTGTTTGTGTACAGCGGCTGAGCCTAACTGGAAAAGTTATGGACGGATTGTCATAACATTTTCAGGATAGGTCAGAAATGGGCTAACTTAGAATTGATTAGATTTTGGTAGTGATCCAGATCCAATTAATTAATTGATTAAATTTTCAGGATAGGTCAGAAATGGGGTAACTTAGAATTGATTACATTTTGGTGGTGATCCGGATCCAATTAATTAATTAATTAATCATTTAATAAAATTTTTCAGTGAGAGAATTGAGCTGCCTTGGCGGAGGTCTGCGCTCTCCGAGTGCTCTAGTTTCAGTTATAATATGGATAAATTTGCCCTAAAATGAATATCGTTCGGTTAAATAGCATTTAGGTATAAATATAATTGCACTTTTGTGATTAGCCCTCGGTCTGTAACATGCAAAATAAATGGTCAAATACGCAACTTTTTCGGGGTGGCAGCACGGTCACGGGTGTCATGGCGCCGTTCAAATTTCATAGCGTTGATGTGTAATTAATTACAACAATTAAATTAGGTATTTGGTAACAAATACGTGTGGGTATAGACGATTTGTTATACAGTAAGTACAGAGGTATTCATATATTCTCTCCGAGGGGAGTGCAACTGGTTAATGTACCAGCATGGCAGCCAATAGGAAATCATATCTTCTCTTTGAAGGGAACGCTACCAGTTAAAGTACCAGCCAAGCAGCCTCTCTCTCTCTCTCTCTCGCTCAACTTTGTTATTAACCACACCTATGATCATACCTACACTACAGAACAACGAGAAACGTATGAAGTCAAAAAACAAAAAGACGGCATTGTTATTGTTTTTCACTTTATGAGATACAAGTTTAATAAACACATTTCAACATGTTTTTAAATGAAAAATTTACAGCTACATAGGACGTCGATACTGGCCGATTTCACAAATTATCGCTATCTAAAACGACGGAACGAGCGACCAGCCTTCCAGCATTCGGCTAGTCCCCCCACAGGTAAACTAACCCACACACAGACATAAATGTACATGACTCTGTCTCGGAGAGCAGTCATCCCTATAGATACCCACCAAAAATTCTCGCTGGCTAACTTCCGTGTCACCACTACACGGTTCGTGTAGCAATACAACGGGCGTTCCCAATATGTGCAGAACTGACCTACGCAGCTGAGGATGACCATGCTCCTCGCCTTCTCCCGGGGATATTGTTGTTGGGTCGGTCAAGATAGACCGGCTTACACACGTTTTCACGCGTGCATTCAAAATTATCGGCATCGTGGCACCGTTTTTTATTCTCAGCAGTGTTTTTAGAATGCCACCGTCACACAACGCTGAAAGGATAACGCTACGTGACAATCGGTTCAGGCGGATAGTTCAGTTTAGAAATGATCGGCAGGCTAGATGTCGATTACGAGGAAGGAGCAATTTAGATCTAGTGAGTGTATTCACACGCGAGGCCTACTATCCACATGGAGGGACGTGGCATGCCATATACGAGCCCCCGAGCATGGTCAGTTTGCAGCGCATAAAATATGGTTTAATATGTCGTGCAGAAATCTTTCTCAATTGTGCCATGCTTCATCGGATGTTGCAAGAAGTGATGCAGCTTTGTAAAGAAAGTTGGAGGAAATAGAGACATGCTCCATGCTATGCAAGGATCTGTACCTGACATTTAACCACGGTAAAGAATGTTGTCTGCTGATGCCAATGATTCGTTAAACGTCTCGAATTCAGATAATTAATAAGCTTTAGCTACACGCCTTCACTCGCTACCAAAGAACTTTGACTGATGCTTCAATATGTGGAAACACGTAATGCCAACAACTGCGGAATGACGTTGACAATAAATGTCCAAACCGTGTTTCATAGAGCCAAGTAATAATTAATGTTACAGGATTAAGCTGGGCAAGGGTAGCGAATAATCCCAGTCGGGTCAGTTGGGGTACGTCCAACCTTATCTGGGTTGACTCGAGAAGTTAGGTAGATGACGACTTGTTTTGTACCCAGTCCACAAAAATCCCAGGGTGCACAGATTGGGAATCCCATTTGCACTGAGAAAAACATTTCTTTTACACAACAATGGCGAATGCTAACCATGCGAGACGTTACGACAACACCCGACAATGTGATCACAGAAATTGTTCAAAAAGAAAAACCGTACAACTCATTACTTCCAAATGCATTACTTGAACAACTTATAACACCAGTTACGCACGTAGCTTTCGTCTCGATTCATCACCATAGCGACAAGTAATAATCCCACTCCGTACATTAGTCATAGACGCCAATTTCTCAATATTACTCCATACATTGTGTTACCTCGGCGGACTCTGCAGCAGACCTAGCGATCTGCGTGTCATGGTATCTATCGAAATTCCTGCTCTTCGTATCACTGCTCAAAAGATGGCAGCACCGTCAACCAGTCCACAATATTTAACAGTCGATCAGCACCAGAATAAATAATATGTACGCGTATCCTGTCAGTTTAGCATCATTTATACTTACGAAGAATTATATAGTACATCAGTGCTGCCATCTGTTGCCTATTGCGGGCACTAACTTTCTTTAAAAAATCACACACTGCACTTTACAAATGCACTTCCATGCAGGATCAATACAATTCAAAGACATTGAAGGGAAATGTGGACATTCTCTCTCACGCTCTTTGTAGCAAATGACCCTCTGGCACAAAATGGACATCAGTGGCCATCGCTGAAAATGGCATACGAATGCTGAAGGTGCACTGCACAATGAACGCCACTTAACTATAAATTATTACTAACTAGTGCTAACAGAGTCTTGCAACAATGCATGGGTGACATGAGATCTACATTATAGGATGGGAGTACATTGATATAGCTTACACAGACTCTTTCATCAGTCCTACACGTTATGGACACTGCCTTCGAACTCTCGACGGCAAAACAACTGAAATATTTACATTCTCAGAATTCAAACAAAGACAGAGAGACAAAGTTGCATCACGTCTGTTGATGTTGGTACTGTGGCAAAGCCACCGTGAGCTCAATGCTATGCGTGTGCGCACCACACCACTTCACACACCCAGCGGTGCAATAATATGTGCAGAGTTCACATGCTGCACTACTGAAGAGGCTGAAAACAGGGTTTAGTCAACACTGACATGACTTGGTTTTCCAATCTCCCTGCAAAATAAAGACTTTCACCGCGATGTCCGGAGACAGATGCAAGAGAAAGTACTGAAAATCTCACAATTCTCGTAATAATTTATTTTCTATGCCGAAATTCGTGTATTTGTTGTATCTGTTTTCGAACTCGATACTCCTGTCCAGTTAAAATACAGTTTACTGTTTGCCAACCTTCAACAGACGCTGCACGATTACTCTTGTTGCCATGACAGCAAGATGCAGGTGATGTCATGGGAACGCTTGGGGGGGGGAATATACACAACATCATAAATACACAAAATATCGCCATTATTTTTCATCATTTGGTGTGAAGAGTCAATGAAAGCACTGCAGGTTCCTGCCCAACCCATCAGCCTCTCCACCTCCCATCATCATCATCATCATCATCATCAGCTGCTGCTGCTGCACACAGAAGAATCCTGAAGCCACACTCGCATCAGCATCACAGCCTCCTCTCTTCCTTCTCCTCAGTCGAGAAACCGAGCGGGTCTTGATCGAGAAACGATGCAACGCAACGCGACAAACAACCGTGGTGTTGCGCGATTGCCCCGGCGGCATCCAGTTCCTCTGGGACGCAGGGAAAGCTCCGGACAGGGAAGCCATTGATTGGTCAGCAATCCTTCCACAGGAACGTTAGGAAACCTCCAGATGGGATGAGCCGGCATGAGTACAATCTCTTGCACTGCGATGTTACTTGATGTTGGTACACCGCGGGGTGAGGTGGGTGGGTGGCGGGAGAGGGTGGCAGCGATGCTGAGGTGTGTGCGTGACGCCGTGGGGACACGGTCTCCGCTCGTGCTGCAGCGTGACAACTTGCGTTACTGGTCGCGAACGGATGCGCTGCTGCTGCTGCTTCTATTCTTCCGCACTTTGGACGAGTCTTAGGCCATTTCATTTCAAATGCTTTTTTTTCGCTCAGATTCAGGGTGTCAGCCGACGCTCTTTCTCGATGGACTGCAGGTGCACACCTCCGCCTGCCTGCAACGCGCGACGGGCGCCGTGGCAACGACGATGCGAGCCGCCGCATCCACTCGCCAGGTGGCCGCGGCCCGGCAGCGGCGGCGGCGTCACTGGAGGGGGGAAATCACGAACGAAAACTGGTGCACACTCATGTGGAAGCGAGAAATTGTCGAACAGTGCCGGCGAGCGACTGTGCACAGGGTTAGGAGTACTTGAGGCGCTTGCGCGGCGGGCCGAGCGGAGGCAACTGCTGGCTGGCTAGCGCACGAAACACCTCCGCGATGAGGTGAGGATGCGATTGGATCATCTGCTTCCACCCGTGAGTTTCTATGACGTCCGTCGCGTGGCTACAACAAATAAGAAAAATCCATCGTTACATCGGAGTATACTCTCTCTCTCTCGCCGTCTACACACGAGCAACTCTCTTTCCAATTTTGCGTAATATTTTCAAATTTTAGAATAATCAATGTCACCATCAGAATTTATTTCATCATACAAAATCGATAAATGCAATCATATCGATCACGTAATATTTTATTTTCGAGGAAAAAATCAAATTTTGTAATTTATCTCAAAATTCAATGATTTTATTTAATACCCACGAAAAGTTAATCCATAAAAACGTGTCTAACCTAGTCAAAGACCCCCCAAAAAAAATCAGGACCGCTTTACCGTACCGGACAGACACCAAGTGCTCATTATAGGAACACACTGTGTCTTTATTGATTGCGAGTGTTTGTTTACGTTGATCGAAATGAATTTTGCCAGTACTGTACAAGGTGACACGGTCACCTGATCCTATACAAGGTGACACTGTCACCTGATACTGTACAAGGTGACACCTGAAGTATTGATCACTCACCTGTTGACAAAGTCGATACACTGGCCTTTCAGCTGATCAGCGCTGTGTAGATCTGCGAGGATGAGGATGTCAGCTACATTGTCTGTGTTCAGGTTTGAGCAGAGAGCTTCCTCACACATGATTTTCAACCTCTCTAGTGCATACTGCAAATCAAACACAGAGCACCTGCATCAGCATGGGCGGGCACGCATTCCCTATGCCGCATTGGTCACTCTATTTGAATTTATTTCCCCGCCTTTAAAATCTAAAGTCCTTCCCACGAATTGCGGATTACGATACGACCATTTTTCCCCGAAATTCTTCATGACATCAGGCTATTTCCAAATGCAACACAACTCTGTAGTCTGAAACTTGTCTACACATCGCATGTCTACAGTTTGGATGGTCACGACTAAATACTGCGCATTACCATCTGGGTGGTGCGTGGGTGAGCTAGGGGCAGGAGCAGCGGGTGGGTGGTGCGTGGGTGAGCTAGGGGCAGGAGCAGCGGGTGGGTGA